CCCCAAAACCCCAAAACCCCAAAACCCCATTGATGCAATTGAATTAATTAATGAAAAAATTAAATTCCAAAATTTTTCATAAAATAAATAAGCTTAAAATGGAAATTTATGTTAAAAAGCATGTAAGTCAGGTTAAAAATTCTATGCTAATTTTAATTACTTAAATATTTAGGAGGATATCAGTAGACTTAATTGGCTCTCTTCTCTTCCCTCAAAATATAAAGAAGAACTAATTCAAAAAATATTAGATGATAAGCTAACCTTGGATTAGAGTCATCATTACAAAGTAGTTCTTGATATTCTATAAGAAAATGATGCATAAAGATCTCAGATTGTTAAAAAATTTCTGAATGAAACTGAGAAGCAAAAGATGAAAGCTATGCTCAAAGTAAATGATAAAACTAATAGAGCATAATTTGAGTTTAAAGAAAGTGATAAGCAACAAGTTAAGGTCTCATTTCTTAACGGTAAGTGAATTTATTTTGGTTTTTATGCATTTTCTGAAGAATTAATCAGAGAATTGAGGGTTAAAAAAGTATAATTAAAAAAGTAAAAGAGCTCAGATAAAAAAGCAAAGGATTTAATAATTCATAATAAGGGAAATTGAATGGATGAAAAAGTTCTCTTTAACAACAAAACAATACACAATCTTACTTCAAATAAAATGAATAGATCATTGATTTTTGTTAACAGAACTGAAAAATTAAGAGAGTCTACAAATAAGGATGATGATTCTATAACCTAAGCTAACAACTATACAAGCATAACTAAATTGGATCCACATTATTTCTAGGATTAACACCCCGTAGATGTCCTAAGCTCAATCGTAGAACTAAAAATTCCTCAAATTGAAAGAGAAGAATCTAAATTAGGAGAAATAGTTGATAGCCATTCTAACCTGAATATTTAATTTCCAGAGTCGAAGCTTACTAACTAATTAAAAAAGCCCCTTCCATAATGATCTTAAACTTTCCGTTAAAAAAGAAAAACTGCCAATCATCTCTACTTAAATGATATCAATGATGAAATGAGGCTTCAAGATATTGTTGAGATTCCAAAAAGCAAATAGGGCTCAAACTTAAATTAAAATAAATAGCCTTCTTCCCCTTTGAGTAGTCTTAATGATCATTAAAGTAGAACCTTTCATTATTAGAGAAGGCCTAAATAATAAAAATAATAACTGTATAATCCCAATTAGGTGTTTATTAAGAAATTTGAATTCGATAATCTCAATAATTATAACAATAACAATTCTTCATTAAAAAGGATAGATGTGAGTACGATTGTTTCCGATAGCAGTGATATATTTCAGATTAACAGATATTCCATACCTAGAGGTCTCAATAGTGTAAAGAGAGTAAGAGAGTCGAAGTAAAATATAATTGAAGGGCTTACAAAGGATTTAAAGTAAATTTTAATTTCACAAGAGAAAAAAGACGAAGATGAGTCTGTAAAACTACAATGAGATAATTAAAATAAATAAAATGTTGGCTTCAAAGGGAGCTAGCTTAAAATGATGAGGTTGCAAAGCAGATCTCGTTAGAAAAATAAGAGGCAATCACTTTCAATGCTAAATACACAAACCATAACACCTAAGAATCAATCGAATGAGTAATCCCTAAAGAATATAATAGATCTGTCAAAGATTAAAAACTTAAATGAAACTACTAAACAAATTCCAATAATTAATGAGATTATCAAAATAGTTTCTCCTAATGGTCTTAATAATGGGGAAATCTATGGCCCTAATAGAGTTATAATTAACAAAATTGCGTTACAAAAATCAAAACCATAATAAGCTAACCAAATGATATAAACTGAAAGACCGGGAGAACAAATTCTAACATTAAGAAGGAAATCAGCCGAAGAGGAATAAAATATGACATCGAGCTAAGAAATAAAAGAAATTAAAAGCAGTAATGCAAGTTTGAATGAGAAAAGAATTATTAAATCTACCTTGAAAAATTAAGCAATAACTTTCTAATACAGTCAAAATAGTTCCAGGGAATTACTTGGAAGCCACAGGCAATCTAATAATATTCCTGCTTAAGGTAAATAGCTTGAAATAATCAGAGATAACACATCGGAGTATGTCAAAAGTACATTTGATCAAATGGATTACTATAAGCACAAACATATCATACCAGCAACGTAAAGAGAGTCCCCAAGTCATACAAAAATACACAATGCAGACGATAAATTCAATTAGTCATTTACAAACTCTCAAATTTTATAAAAACTAATATGCAAAAACAATCAGGACGAGAAACTCCTGAGATATAGTTAACTGATGGATGATACCAGACTCAAGATTAAGATTACAGAGAATAGTCAAAAAGTATAGAGGCCAAGTAATAGCATTATATTTGATTCGAAAAGAGTTATTAATAAGGTTGATCAAGTATTATAAGAAAAGCGAGAGGACTAAAACAATCAGACTCCCATGCAGATAAATAATCCAGATTAAGAACTATTTTTGAAATTTATTCGATATAAAAGAGGGATGGAAACAAATAATATTAGTCCTTCGTCAAATCTTAATTAGGATCACCTAGTCAATCATAACCATGATTTGAAATCGCATTTGAAATTTGACAGAAATATTATTAAGAAAAGGCAAAGAGCTAGAATGCAAAAAATAATTTGATATGATTACTGACTTTTACAATATATATTATTAGAAATTTTAGTTATTTAACAATCTAATCAAACTATTGAGATCTACAAATATTTTTTAATTTTAGTCAAGGGGTTTTGGGGTTTTGGGGTTTTGGGG